TGTTTCGCAATAGAGGAGCTAGGTCTCCTGTTCTTACCTTGAATGGGTTCTGAAGATTCCATTTGTTTCTGGAGCCATTTAGGAATATGCTCTGAAACCAGAGCTTACTTGCACAGATCGATGAGTCTTCCCTATGTATGTGTGTCCACACGTACATTCAAATTGGTAAATACAGTGGGATGTGCAGTCATTTTTCGCGTGTTCAAAGGGCTTAGATAGATAGACAGATATTATTGGCTTCACATTCTCAATTATTATTATGATATTAGCTGCATAAAAGTCTTTTTAACCACAGCAGCATTCAGTCTTCGTCTAGTTATCAAGCTGTTATGATACCTCCCTCCATATAGGGTAGCTTGTTGTACACGTATTTTTTTTAGGGGGGTGGGGGTTGTACAGTACAGCGCAAATACAACATTACACGGTTCAGAGAAATTACATCTTCTTGTTGCTTGATCTAAATTCATTTAGGGAACTAATTGTTTTCAAATAAATTTCTTTCACATTCCCCATCCGTTCGTAATGAGTAGCCATTGTAGTTCTAGTGATAAAAGTCTCTGTTATCTTGTCTAGCATATAATTGATTTGATTTTTACACATTTGGTCGTATATATATATCTGAGTAATTGAATAAATATTTGATAAACTATTCATCAAGCGGCTTGTTTAACAAATAAACAAACGAACGACAAAACACTGGAACAAACACATACACTACCTACCCTTTTTCTTTGAATGTCTGTGCATGCTGCGCTTATAAAAATAAAAAAGCATTATTCGATAGACTTTGTTGGGATTGAGGCGGGTAGAGGAAACCTTCTTTTTTCAGACGAATGAATGAATACTAAGTCTGTCTTTTAGACCATCATATCAAGATTTCTACGTTTGTTTTTTTCTCTTTTTACGCTACTTTGGATATGTCCAAAATTGGAGATTGTTTATCCTGTTACATTTGAAAAAGCGGTAAATTGAAAAAAGGAGTGATTTCTTCTAAGGTTTTGTGTATGGATTTCTGTTTCTTTTTGGGTTCTGAAAGGAACCGAAGCGCTTCTAGCTTTTAGCTTTGAAGTTTCGGTAGCTGTGGTGATGTTTCATACATCGTGAGACTGTTATCCTCACATGCAACCTTCCTTCTTTTACTGAGATGAGCTAACTGTTTGCTAGTTATTTAGGCGAAGTGCGTCTGTCGAGAGTCGAAAACAGGTTTCGTGTATGGCTGGAGAGAGAATTTTACGTCTGAATGATATGTATCCGTATATATATATATATATATATATATATATATATGGTGGTCTCTCTTTCTGTTGCTCTCTTAGTCTGTGACCATTTCACTTTGATGAACCTGTCTCCTCTAACAATGTATATTTCCCTTATATTATATATAATATGTGTGTTTGTTGACAGTCTGCTATATTTTGCTATGTATATATGGATCAATACTCCATTATAATTAGCCATTCATGTTAAGACTGTCTATTGATTTGTTCACACACTTGTTCGGACATTCATATATATTTTGCTCTCACACTCTTGTGTGACATTTTTGATTCTACTTGTGTTTGGAAAATAGAAGTGTCATCGCAAGCCTAGTGGTCTTCTGATTTGCGTCTTTCTTGCGTCAGGACTATTAAATTCTCGACCAGTTCATAACAATAATTTGGCGACGAGTACATAACAATTTGGCGACGGGGAAAACTACTATTAACCACTCAGCAGCAGCAACATAACACTGAATAAGGAATTCACACTCATTATTTTACTTTTTACTGTTTGCTAATATCTCTCAGTCAGGTTTTTTTTCATAGTTCCGGTTTGAGATAGATCTCGAAGCCAGTTAACCGGAAGTGATTCGTTCAAATTTCGTCGTCACCATAATCTGTTTCATGGATAGTTAGTTTTCAGATTATTGCTACTATAATTCCCTTGGGTTCGAGTCGAACACACGGCTTCAACAACACATCTCCACTCTCTTTATTTTATGCCAGCCTCTTCAGCTGGGTTCATGATTTCCTAGGATCTTTCATCTCCTTCTCCTCCTCACCACACGATCTCCTCCATGTCATCCTCACACCGATGGCCCACCAGTCGCTTTCTATTTGGATTCCACTTGGAGGCCTGGCGTGCGATATCATTCGACGATCTCCTCAATAAATGGCCAATCTATATCCATTTTCTCCTACATATTTGTTGAGCAATCGACTTTTTGTTGGTTCGTCGCCAGCCAGATGTTCTTGTTACTCACTCTTTCTGGTTGGTCATTTTGGTCTTCAGGATGAAACGAAGGCAGCTGTCGATGAAAGTCTGCTGTGGCCTTTTCGAAATCCTTCTGGTTACACACTGATCGAGTTTCTGACCCATATAGAAAAATGACTGACTTAACACTGATGTTGAAAATCTAAATCTTTTTTTTAAGCGCTGACTGGCTGAGTGAGTCTAGGAGTTTTTCAAACTGGTTTCAGTTGGATAGATGAAGGCTGACTTTGATGTCTTCATTCGTTCCATTGAGGCCTGTAGCTGGAGCAATGCTTCCTAGATAAGTGAAGGAGGTAGCCTCTGTTAAATCTCTTCCATTGATGATCATGAGTGCTGGTTGTCGTCGTTCTTACTGTTGATTGTTTATCTTCATAACCTCCGTCTCCATCTTCTCTATGTTTACCTGGAGTCCTGTCTTCGCTGCCGGCCAGCCAGTCTTTTCTGCCAGTTTGTTGCCTTTGACTGCCTGCTGGTCTTTAAGTTTGTGACATTAGACATTTATCATTTTCGAAATCTGCAATTGGGACTCGACCTAATGGCCAGCCTATTATTTCCAACTTCTGCCAATTCGCGATATATTTAGCTCGATTGGTACATGCCTATGTTATTGCTGGTGTGAGTATGTCTCAACTCCTGACCGCTTGGTGAACCCCGCTAATTTGGTCACGACATTTCACTAGAACCAACTCCAGGCAACTGCATCCTGCAGCCAGTGAGTGCCTACTTCCGATGAATGCCAAATAGCTGTCCACTCTTCCCTGGCTTTCTGTTGTTCGTCATGATCAAAAATATTGGCAGCAGTATAAGTGCCTTTTCTTGTGACTGTAGATAATCTTAATGTAGAACTTCACTAATCACGTCTCCACTGAACAGCATTTTCAGAAATAACTTTTTCTTCTTAACCTTAATCGATTTCATGGTTCAGAAAATGTCAAATAAATTCTTTAAGAAGCTCATTTGATTTCTAGTGGTCACTCATTAGATAGTAGAATCGTTTTCAAGGTTATCTGTCGATCGTAATCCATTTAACCTTTCGAACGGAATTCATACTCGTCAATTACACATACTTGAAACAACGTGAATTCGACAGAACATACCAAGTTTTGTTATATCAAAAGAAGTTTGTTCTACCAATGATTCTACTTTCACTAAGGTTTATTCTTTGGTGAACTGATTAAAACTTCTCACCTTCTCTTGTTCTTCACTTCGATTGTCTATCCACTTCATCTATAGTATTACGTAATTTTTAATTTTATACAACTTTACTTCATTTCATGAATAATCCTCATCCAAGTAATAATGAAACGAACAAATTAAGTAGCTCATGGAATCCGTTTTTTCCAGGTGTACAATCGCATCTGGCCACTCCGTCATATTTTATGGCTGTGAGACCTGCCCATTGAAAATGGGAGACATGAAAAAGCTAGCTGTTTTTGATCACAGGTGCCTGTGTTCTATCTCCCGTTTGAAGTGGTATAATAGGGTGAACAATATTGAGGGTAGGTCAAGCGCTAGATAGCTGGTAAGGGAAATCAATAGGCGAGGCTGTGAAGTTACATCGGTTGAGATGGTTAGGACATATGTTACGTATGCCCAGCCTAGCCATCGCCTTCCTTGACGAGCAATGTGTTGCTGACTGACATAGGATGGATCAGTTTGGGGAATATAAAGCTAGCAGTAGTCAAACCAAACATGTCTTCATCAGTCAATCAAATCTACAACATTTAGTTTAAGCCACAAAGGAAGGTGTAGACTTCCTGGTTGGGATCCTCAAGGCTGTAAAAGCCAATGAAGGCTGGAGAAAATTGTGATATGGATCAAAATGGTTTTCAGTGGCACAAATGCATCCAGTCCTTGTGACTTATGACATCCAATAAAACTATATCGTTCTTCAATATTACTATTCTTTTTGCCTCATATCTGTGTTTACTATCTCTGTTTTCCATTTCTTTTTGCTTTCTTCCCTTGGTTTGTGTGCTAAGTGAAGTGTGGCGACTTGAACTGCCGCACATCGGTGCAAAGTTCCACGTTGAAAACAGTCAGTCAGTCAGATGGCTGAAACTCTAGTCATTAAGACAACGAAACCGTAGGCCGGCATACAAAAGAAAATTATTAAATCATTTCTACTATCATGGTAAGAACTTTATTGTAGCAATGTTTATTTTTTACAGGATGAGATTGCCAGCCTCATGTCCAACCTTCCCTCCTAACCAGCTTTATTACTGACTTAGTGAGGTAAAGGAGTGCGTCGGTGGGCGGCGATAGAACTCGAGACCACATGAGATGTGGTCAGCGAGCATTCTGAAGCTGTGCCGCTGACACACAGTGCGTCTGGTGCACACGGTCCGGGGTTCGATCCCCGGCCACCCACGCACTCCTTTACCTCGCTGAGACAGAAATAACGCTGGTAAAGAGGAAAGGTTGGGCATCGGATTAGCAACCCCATCCTGTAAAATAAACACTTCTACAGAAACTTCAAGCTACTAACTTGAAGCCCTGTGTTCCACTGGGGAACGTGAAGGAAAGAAAAGCCACCGACGCACACGTAACTCTAATTCACTCACTCAACTCGTCTTGTGCATTGAGATATGGTATAAAAAAATAAATTGACTTGAACGTTATTGTACAGCTAAAGACGGGGAATGAATTCGTCGCGAAAATAAGCCTCTTCATTGAACTATTTTTACTTAATTTATCACTTTTATTATTATTGTTATTAAACTTTGTTGAAATCCTTGTTTTTTCAGCGTTACAGTCTTGCATCCTCTTCCAATGGAAAGCGTCAAAATCAAACTTCATCTGACCAATCGCATACTGAGAATGCACAGAGTTCTTCAGCTGTCAATAATAATAATAATGATATTAACGATCAACCAGTTGTCTCCTTACCAGTCCCCGTTAGAAAAGGTAGCTTAGTAAACAAAAGCAATGGATTTATTTGTGCAGAATGGGCGGCTAAATTAAATCATGATGATTATGATAATCATTATAATAATACTAATAATAATGATAGTAGTAGTAGTAGTATAAGCAGAAGTCGGAGTAGATTTGCTAAACAAGAGAACACTTCACCGTCACCCTCACCACCTCCCCCACCGCCAGCATTTCTTGGTGCTGGTGATGCATGTGCAAGTCCAACTAACACATTACCATCGCCTTCACATTCATCACATCCACAGATACTACAACAATCACAAGAACAAGAACAAAAATCCCATCAAGGTCATCATCATCATCATCATCACCAACTCAATGAAACTTCATGGTCTATATCAAATTCGAATAATTATTCTACAGGTGGAATGAAGTCACAGGCGTCAAATTCGCATGATGTTGTCAATTCAGATTACAAGTTACGACAACCACAACAACAACAACAACACCACCAAGTAAACCAAGTACACGGGACATCTCCAACTCCTGGTTACAATTCACAATCATATCAAATTGTGGATAATCAAAAACAACTTATTAATGAATTGAGAGGATTCTATAGGGTAAGAATTTGCGGCTTTTATGGTTGCTTTTTTATGATAAATTTTGTTTTATACTTGATTTTGATGTTGTTGTGTTCTCTGAGCTGATAGTTAATTTACGAAGCTTTCATCGCCCTACTAGACGACATCTTCAGCGCATACTTCAATCTGTTGAAGTGAGCTTTTAGATTTCTCCACGAGTTTATTAGTCATCTCTCCTGGCGGGTGACCTTGGATGTGATTGGATGTTTTTGTGTGTTTTTACACCTTATAGGCAGCTACTTGTTTTGCAACTGATTGTTTCTTTGACTTGAACTTTGACCCTTTGTGTGTGAAGTTTCTTTCTTATGGTTGATAAATTTTGTCTATCTCGATGTGTCTATTGATTGATGATTCACTGGAATGCGAGACTGGCTTTAAAAATTCTCTAGCATTCTTGTTGTTTCCTCTGTCTAATATTTAAACGTGGTTGTCCCAGTCGAATTGATGTCCTTGGTTGTCTGTATGCAGTGATATGAGTGAGGGAGTGATATCATGTCTTTTGACGGCTAGCTTATGTTCGTGAATACGAAGACAAAGGGAACGTCCACTTTGGCCAATTTAGTGTTTTTCGCAGTTGTTACAATTTATTTTGTAGATGATGTTGTTGGTTTTATCTACTCTCGCTGTTGAGTCTTTTGGTAGACATAGAATTGAGTGAAGCCACTTTGTTGGTTTGTGTACGACGTCAATTCCTAAAGGAAGGTTTGAATAATCTTGTAGTGATTTGATTTTGATTTCAGCCTGACTCCACACCGTATTTTTTTGGTACAGATATGGAATTTTTAGCAGGTGATATCGGTAGCCCAAATTTAGCATGCCGACCACAGAGATATCAGGTGTGCATCGGCGTGGGTAAGGGAATTTTCTTTGTGCTTTCCTTGTTTTACTTGATTTTTGGTTGAATTCAACTAAAATGATGGTTGCGGAGAAGAAAATCTTATTTTCGATGAATTCATCAACTAGAAGGTTGTACATTCGTGTATTTATAGGAAATGGGAGAAAGTTCCAGAACTCTATTTCCGGCCAAAGGTCAAATTATAACAAGATTACAAATAGGGATTAAAACGTTGCGATAACAAAATAAAAACACCGCGAATACGATAAAAACATAGTAAGATAATAATTATTGGAGAAACTGACTTATTTCTGCAGTTAGAGATTGTTATATTTCCCTTGGGTTCTGAATGGAACATGGGGTTTTAACAACATATCCTCACTTTCTTCTGTTCTCCGCTCTCCTCTTCAGCTGTCTAGGCCCATGACTGCTCACAATCTTTCATCTGTTTGTTGCCGCTAAATCTCTTCTATGTCACCCTCGCACCCACGATCCATTCTTCATACCCCATTGGGGTTCCACACAAACTATGGCCTGCGTTGCGTTCGACGTCATTTTGTAACAACAGAAGACAAGGGCCAGGCAACAGATCGTTTTTTTATGAAAATCAACACGTATTTATACATATTTCACATACGTTATCATAGCTTATGCAAGTAGACAAGCGCAGTTATCTGATTGGTTGTTTATCAGAAGTTAGGCAGACAAACGCAGGCTTCTGATTGGTTGTTTCGGGATTCCTCGACAAATAGAGTTCTCTATCTGTGAATCATATTTTGCCACGTTAACTTTGCTGTGATTGGTTGTTGAATCAGCCTTGCTCATATTTTCTCACGGCCTGCTCTCACCACAATTTAACGGTCTCCTCAATGGCGTATGCCTATTCTATCCATATATCCATTTTCTCCTACATATTTGTTGAGTGATCGGCTCTTACTTTGTTTGTTCCCAGCCTCTCGCCCGGCCAATTCGATCTTCAGTAAAGAGCCAGCCAGCCAGCCAACCAGTGAAGTCGGCAGCTATATCTTGTGTTCTAAGTACAGTGAATGCATCATCTACATACCTCCCCACCAATATGTTGAAGTGGGCAGCTGTTGATAAAAGTCTGCTGTTGTGACCTGTTGAAAACGTTTTTCGTGACGTGTACGCAGTGCAAGATTTTGACCCGTATAGAGAAGAACTCACTGACTGCCTGACTTCACATCTGTGTTGAACAGAATCCGAACGAATCTTGTTGCTTATGCTGACTGGCTGGCTGACTGGGTGAGTGAGTGAGTGAGTGCAGAAGACTTCTGAACCGCTTCCAGGTTGATGAAGGCATATCTCGCCTTTCCGATCCCCATTGGCTGGCTTTGACGTCTTGTAGTTGAAACGGTGCTGGCTGACTAGATAAGTGAAGGCAGGAAGAACCTCTGTCATATCTCTCCCGTTGGTGGTGATCGGTGCTGGTTGTTGTTCTTGCTACTGGGCGGCTGGTTAGTTATTGTCATCCCCTCCAACTTCTCTGTGTTCACCTAGAGTCCTGTCTTCGCTGCCTGCTGGTCTTCGAGTTTGTGTGAGTGATATTATTATACATAAATCATCCACACGCGAAATCCAGAGTTTTCTTAACGGTCAGTACAGCGTGTTCCTGCCTTCTCACTCTCCGCTCACAGTTTAATTTATAATCCAGTCCACCATAATTAGGAATATCATCCGTGGTGATAAATAGGAGATAGCTAGCTTGTCTTACTCCTGTCTTCACTTCGAATGACTCTCTGAGTTTTCTGTTTTGCATCACCTGCCTGACATGTAGCATCGTGTCTTAGAGCTGTTAAATGAGGTTTACGTTTACAAGGGTAAAAGTGAAATTTAATAAACTGTCTGTTACATTTAGGCTTTCCGCAGATAGGATGTCCTTAGCGAGTTATCAACATTTTTTCGCATTTTAAAATCCAATTACATTCAGCCTCTACAATGAAGTCAGCGTTTGGGAGGACTGTTATTTAAAGCCTTTCAGCAAGTTTCCAAGATCCAAATTCTCATCAGAAATAATGAAAATATTATCAATGTATCTTTTGTTGAGATTGAGGCTTATTGATTTTTGATATTGAGACAGTATTTCCCGGGTTAGCCATAAATAGAGTCGGCCAACGGCGGGGGTCCTAGGGAAGAAGCGTTTAAAGTGCTGATATGTATCCACATATATATTTATGTGTGTGTGTGCATGTTGGTCTCTCTTTGTGTTTGCTCGGTTAGTCTGTGACCACTTCACTTGTATGGACTTGTCTCCTTTAATAATGTGTATTCTCCTTATATTATATTATATTAATATGAGTGTTTGTTGACAGTCCGTTGCTTGGTGACATATATCCATATATGTTTGTTGGCATGTCTGCTATATTCGCTATGTATATATGGATCGACACTCCATTATAATTAGCCATTCATGTTAAGACTGTCTAATGATTTTCCCACGCTTGTCTGAATTATATATATTCGCATTCACAATTTGTGTGAACTACTTACTTTACAACTGCTTTACTTACTTACCACTTGGTGTGAGACCATTTATTTTCGTCTCCTTGTGTTTGGACAATAGAAGCATCATCGCAAACCTAGTGGTTTTCTGATTTCCGCCTTCTCGCGTCAGGACTATTAGTTTCTCGACCCGTCCATAACAATAATTTAGCGACGAGTACATAACAACCGTACCTTTTCAGTTCCAATTTTTCCAATAATATATTCATTTCTATTATAATATTAACTAGATGATATTTAGTAAAGAGACTCTTTAGTGAATTTATTATCAAGCTGTACAATGATTATTAAGAAACACTATATTTGGTGTAAGGAAATTTAATTAAAATGTGTGAATATAGTCCAATATCGAGCTGAAAGACAATGTTAAAAGTCATCTCGAAGAAGACATCACGAAAGGGTAGCGCTATGTGGTGAAGTGTCAGAATTTAAGGCTTATATGGGCTGACCATTGGATTGGGTCCCCGTGGTTTAATGGTCTGTGAGCTCGTTGGCCTTGTAACCAGAAGATCCTGAGTTGGAACCCAAGTGAGGTGGGTACGCACTGATGAAGCGTTTCAGAGGAGGTGGACGAAACACCTGTCCAGTATTCCCTGACCGATTTTCCAATGGTTCTCTGACTGATGTCAGCTCAGGATGAAATCCTCCATGCAATCAAACAAAAACCCCTATAAAATCAATACTGGAAAATATAGAATAGTTCATAAAATGTATAAGATCTTGGATTAGGATATAAAATAATGTGATTTGTAGGCAAAAACGGTATTACGTAACGTGGTGAGGAGTTGTTTCATAAGACAGATTTTAAGATCACAAAAAAATTAAAAGCACTGTGGGAATTAGGAAAACTTATATAGATTAAATAAATAAAATAGAAAAAAAAATAATCAAACTTTTATCCCTTTATGGCCAAGATAGAATGATGAAAGTGGCTCATGAATAGATCTTCTTAGTGTCTTAATTTCTCGTTTGTTAAACTTTGTTATCCATGTGAAACTGATTCGCTGACTAACGGTCAATGTACCTTACCCTACAACAGTATGCAAACTGATAGATAGATATACATACATGAAGGTTGCCAAATAAGGCAGTTTATTTTTTGTCACTAGACGGAGAACAACTTCCAGCTGGTGGTAGTCAACTGGAGTTTGAATGCAACTACCTTCGCTGCATACTGAAAATCAGATGGCTGGTCAGACAGGATTCTTTTTTATTCCTTTACCATCCCAGTGGATTATAGGGTTTAAAGCGAGAGCTTTGAAGTTTAGTCAGCAGTGGTGGTATTTTTTACAGACAGGATGGAGGTTGCTAGCATCACGCCTATCCTCCCGTCTTTGCTGACCTGACTACCGGTGTGGTGAGAGCAGGCTGCTAGCCGATTGGTTGACACTAAGCTACGTTAATATGGGCGTGAGAAATATGAACAAGGCTGAGTCAACAACCAATCACAGCAAAGTTAACGTGGCAAAATATGATTCGCAGATAGAGAACTCTATTTGTCAAGGAATCCCGAAACAACAATCAGAAGCCTGCGTTTGTCTACCTAACTTCTAAACAACCAATCAGATGACTGCGCTTGTCTAGTCTTCTGTTGTTACGCCGGGACCACATGCATAGTTGTCGA